GCATAATACACATTGATTCATCTTTTATCTACTGTTAGGAGTTATACAGTGAGATCTTATCATTACTGGCAAAGGAATGAAGGTCGAGAATTTTGTGCAACCAGCAACCCACTCATTTGATTCACAAACGTGTTATGACGAGCAGAACTGCCTGAATAATCCAGTCACTCTGTGGAGTCACCAGTGATAGGACAGAGCCAGATCTGAATCCTAGTGAGGAAGCTGGGAGACCTTTCCTCTGATTTTTCTAGAAATTTATATGGCCCTTTAATCCTTATCAACAAAAAAAATCTTGGCTGGCATGTTATTGTGAAGTCTATAACAGGAACGCAGGTCAAAGCTCACAAATTTTCTAACTTATTACACAGACAAACATCCTTTCACTAAAAAGATAGTTTGCCTGGTAGTAGATAAGGAAAAAATAAGATGGTTTTCTTTTGTTATGTTCTCCTCTTGACAAACTCCTCTGAAGGAACACAGACATAAAACAAGGTTTACAGTGGAATACCAACCGTGGATAAAGGAAACCTCAGGATCTGCCTGACTGTATTCATCTTAGCGATAGCTGTAGTTTTCTGGCTTATTCTTTAATGAAAAAAGTGTCATAAAAACAAACCAAATCTACATTCCTTGTGCATGCATATCTCCATGGATTTCACTGCGGGAATTTGGCCCTCTGTGTGTATACATACTATTAAGTTGCAATTCCATTAGCAAATTAAATAACCATGTATTAAAATGAAGGCAAGAGTTAGGGACTGGTTTTCTTCTGTAAATTTGCCAGCTTGATCTGGCAAAGTGAATGTTCTGACACAAATCAGACTGGATCAACAGAAACATCAGTTAATACAAGAAAGGCCATGCAGAGTCTTCAGAAAGGCACGTTGATAAAGGTCGAATACTTCAACCTTGGACACCGGCAGAGAAAGGAGAGTAAGATGGAGCAAGCAAGTCAGGACTGTGAATTAAAGGTAGTTGAAGTGAAGTGGTTAGTAGGAGAACCTGGCCCACAAACCTTGAGAAATTCAACCTCCAGCTGGTTTCAGTGATCATCACAAGTGAAAATTCATTATGATAGTTTTTTAAGATACGGTGCATTTCAAACCATTAGTTTTGGTCATCTGCAAAACTCTTAATAAATGTGGGAAGCAAGCAGCAATAACAAAAGCAATGAAGTCTTTATTACCTTCAAAATGTCACCACCCACTCTAAACCTACCTTATACAGCATTTTATAGACAATATTACAGTCATAATGTGCAGTGGTTAGCTTTATAGGGCTCATTCATTCCTGTTCAAAACAACAGGCATGACTACAGCTGAGGATGTGTCAAAAGGAAATAAGAAAATGCTCTCTGAGCAATTGCTGAAGAAATGGTACTTGGTTGCAACATCTGGTGGAGTAATGTTACCATCTTTGCAATAAAAAATAACTGGACAAAACATAAAGGAAGTGAAAAAAAAGACTTTAAGTACAGGCAACCATTATCTGTCTGCATACGTCATGGATATGCCAACCTTTAATAAGAACAACGGCAACAAAAAATGGAAAAGAATTAGGGTATGCATAGTAGACAGTATTCATTTTGTTGACTTATTGAAGGCATTCATAATTTTCCTCTTGGCATTGCAATGCAATCTTTGTTGCAAATCTTGGTTTATTTTAGCACTGATCAGCCATGTACCTTGCCATCATAACTGATCGACATTTAACAGAATTGATGGATGTCAGTGCCCTTGTGGGAATGTGCCCTGTCACTGCTGTTTCTGTCATTCTCTCAGCTATAGTCACTGGCTGGATACTGAAAAGACACCGGATGGTAAACACTTTGAAACTAATTAATTTGAGGAAGTGGAATACTTAATTTGTATTGATTGTGCAAATGCCGTTGTTTTGCTCTTCAACAGCCCTTTCCAGAATGTCATATGAAGCCATATTCATCACTGGAGAAATACATGTAAGTTAGAATAAACAGCAGAGAAACTGAAGAGATTATTTAGGTTTTCACCTCTTAGTTGTGATGTTACTCAATCCTAACTGAATTAGTAATGAATGAGAATCATCAGCACCCAAATGACATTTTTCTCCTCAACCTATATTCTCAACCTGATTCCTGATAAGAGAAACATGATTTCACATGATTTGAAATACACTGCTTGGAATATGCTTAGGCCTAATTTTTTGGGTCATAGACCCTGGAAATCTGGTCATTTCCTGCAAAAGTGAATAATGGGACAGTACGACAAATACTGGATTAAAACCCAGGAGAAACGTCCTAATCTTAGAGAAGACAATGGGGATTTAGCTTTTCATTTGACTTTAAATTGTAAGTTCACAAAGAAACTCACCAGTGTTACCTTGAACATTGTTGCATACTCTAAAGAATCACAGAAAATGAAAAGAAAAAAAGATATATATATTTCTCTGCACAGCTACACCTGGTCCTTTTAAGTTATACTGTGGAGACATATGAACAATGAAGATGATGATGTAATTTACTCTTGGTCATAATAAACCTTAGACTCCAATGTTATGATCTGGCATTTTTCATGAATATCAGAAAGAAAAGAAAACATCAATCACCATCTATAGATGTGAATATTTAGAACTCTGCATTAGCAAAATCATATCAGGCTTGTTTTAAACCAAGTAGCTGTGTGCCTAACTGATCTTATTTTAATTTATATCAGTTTTTCATTTCTGTAACATTGGCTTCAGCAGACACTTGTCTTTACACCGCAGTCACAAAGGGCAGAGTCATATCTATGCAAGTTCAAACCAAGAAAGACGAAAAAATTACAAAGGTTTTTGACAGCTATATTATAAGAAAAATGATCAGATACAGATGACAGCAAAGCATTTCTAGCCGAGAGAGTTCTAAGACAAGTTAAGCAATCAATCATCTGCATCACTCACTATTCAGTGAGTCGACATTCAACATCTGAATCAGTCATTACAATGTAAAGAGAATTAGTAAAGTCTCTAACAAAATGCAAATAAGTGAACTGGAGGACAATACAGTCAAATTCTAAAACTTGGCAGGAAGCCAGAAGAATTATTTTGACAAGACTGCTTGGGGTGATTTGATTTCTTCTTGTTACATTAAAAAAAAAAAAAATTAAAAAAATTGAGAACTTAGGTCTTGAGCAGTACAAGTATTCTTGTATACAAAAGTATTCTGTAACACAAATGTATAGCTGTATTTAGCCAGAAAAACACAGAATAAGGAACGAAATATAGTGCATGTTCTGACACTTTGCTATACTTCTATGCAAATTAACTCTTTTTGGTGCTAGTGAAAGTTTTTCCAAATAAGTGCAAAGAATACTGGGGCAAAGCTAGCCTGAATGGTATGCAACTTTTACTGTTACCTTTACCTTCCCTGAATATGTTGCCTACTAATTCTTGCCATCAGTATCAGCCTGCTTCAAAATCCACCTGGTATAAGTGAATGTAAAAAATAGGTTTAACATCTGTGGGACTACTAAGCTGCAGGTGCTGAAATTCTGTAAAATCATAAGTACCACTATTATGTAGGTCCAAAAAAGCCCCACCTAGCATCTTCCTTGTTCTAGTTAAAATAAAAGAAGGGGGGGGAAAGAAAGAAAATGAGTTTAAAAAGAAAATTAAGCAGAAGCTTCTGTTTTAACAGCAGCTTCACCTTGATTTTTAGCAGCAGAGGGGATGCTATCTTACGCTTACTCATCAATTGGAGTAATGGTGAAAAATGGGAGTGATCTTACTGAAAACCGAAAAGTCATAGCAGGTAGCTGCACTGTTAGGCAAATCCTAGACATCTAGGTGTTTGGCAGCTGTTTTGAGAGAAATGACACGTGTCCTTGGTTTGCACATATGGCAGAGCTAACACAAACGTTAGATGCCTGAAGGTGTTGGCTGTGCCCTCTAGCCATCAGCCGTTGGATCCCGATGTATTTGCTCCCTTTCTCATCTGTCCTCATGGGTGCTGTATGAGGAGCTGCACTGGCATCGATAGAACTGCTCCTGCTCCTAGAACTGCGTGTTTGCCTCCGTACATCACAAGGTCAGGGCCTGAACGATGTAGAATTTGTCATCACAGGGAAAGTTTCTTATCGATGACTTACTAATGCTGACAAGCCTTGAAATGATAGAGGTGGTTTGGCTTTGGGCCTGATATGAATGTAGGTAGAGAGGAATAAAGGAAGAGTGTTTTCACAAAAGTTTATACTAATATGGTCTGTATTATCTTACGGAAAAAATATTTTTAAGTGCTTTCAGGAAAATACGTATGTCTTTGTTAATGTTTGTGAATAGCTAAGAGGATTCTGTGGATCCTTGTACTTAAAAAAAAAATCCTGCCCTTGGCAAGTGCAATGGCTCTGTGAGGAGTATGAGAACTAGAAAATTATTCTTTAATTTAAACAGAAGCAAAATTTCTTCTCTAGTTTTATTCTTATGATGGATAAATACACAATTCCAAGCAAGGGAACAACATGCTGCCTGTGTCAGTAAGCTGGGAAGATAATAATACATGTAAGAATAGATTGTACATGCTATTTTATGTCATCAACTCATCATTTTTATCCCCTTTCTCATAACTTACAGATCTGTATGAAATAGTTTTGTATGCTGGAAGTAGGAGATTTTGTGTTTAGATGTGTTTTTTATTGGCTGGTCTTCCTCAGGTTTATCCTTGTAAATCTCATTGATTGAACAAAATTGAACTTTGTCCAACAGTTGATGAGTTACATGGATAGAATTTTACCACCTAAAACCTCATACAGGAATTTAATTTATTTCACTGGTGTTTTGACCTTTGTTTGTGTAGAACTGAATCTCACAAGCAGTTTGGGTTTGGCTACTTGAAATAAAAACATTCGTGGGCCCAGGTGCATAACTCTTTCACTGGTCTCTACTCCATAAATATAAATTCCTAAAATGAAATCCATACAAGTCAAAATATAAGTCTGTATTTTATTTGACCATATTAACAAGGAAAGTATTACCTTTATCTTACAGAAATGTTGGAATCCAACAATATAATCAATTTCAATGGACTAGCTAACAGCTCCAGTTACCATACTTTCCTCTTGGATGAAGAACGGAGTCGGCTGTACGTTGGAGCAAAGGATCACATATTTTCTTTCAACCTGGTTAACATCAAGGAATACCAAAAGGTACTCTTGTTCATGTTTTGTACAATGTAAATATATACTTTTAACGTTGCAGAATTGTTATTACTCAGACTATATTGGACACTATGAATTATGTAGTAAGTGTTTGGATGTCAGGAATCCTATTACAACAAAAACATTTGCTGACTCTATGAAGAGAAATTTATAATGAGTCTATAACCTATGACTGTATAATCTACAAAGCTTTTTTCAGACTATGAAAAAGTAAATGATAAGTGAATAATCCAGCTATTTCCCAAACAAGACATACTTTCATGTTTACTGCTAAAAAAACCAAACAACTATTATGACAGTTTACACAAAAAGACCTTTTTACCCTGTATTTGTTTGCAGACAAAAAGAAGCTGTTTGGGAGTCCGAGTATTGATTTCTCTCCTTTAACCCAGCACTTGTAGGCACTCTGCTTCTTCTGCTTTCAAACCAAAATAGATTCAGTATTAATAAAAGAGGAATAGGTCCATAAAAGCTTGCCATTCTTGGTGGAGAGTATAATTTTCCAGTAAAAGTTGGTGACAAATTAAAAAGCTGACACACAGTCCAGTGATGTTCTTTTGTTGGAGTCTAAATAAATAATTTCATTTTTCATTTATTTTAATAAGACAAAATGCTAAGAAGGTAAACAATGGGATGGAGGCTTGAGCTGTTATATTTAAGTATTTTGATGGCACATTTTAAAATCCAGAGAGTTCCCTTTTATGACAGATATATTGCTTCAATACCCAGAGATTTATTTTTTTTTGGTGTTCCTGACCTTTTGCCCGTTTGACTATTAGCTTCCTAAGATGATAGCAATAAATACCTTGTGTTTTCTGTTCAGAAGGAAGACAGGCTATTCATTTGTATTCTCTAAGGAAAAAGGATAAAAGGAAAACCGGGTATTTTCTTTTCTATTCTCTTTAGAGCAGCTATAAAGGAAACTAGCTATTTATTTGAATTCTCTGAGGGATTGATAGCTTAATGTGCAAAACATCTGGAATAATTAAAGGAAAGAAGGTGTTTCCATTGCAGAAAACATCTCTGCAAAATGGGAGGAATTGTATCTTACATACTTACATATTCAGATACCTTTAGAATGCTATTTGAAATTATATATAATTATTACTAGATTAAATAAAGAATTGCTGTTGGTAACAGGGAACTGAATGCTGGCAACAGACTTAAAGAACAGACTTACAATTTAGACTTTAGATTTAAGAATAGACAAAAGGCTTAAAGAATTTGGGGATCTGCTTATTAAAGACAGGAGGGTCACTGAAGAAACTTCGAACAAAATCACAGTGCAGCCAGTGCTGCACTTGAGCTTGAACTTCACCAGTTGTTGTTTCCACCATGTAAAAAAGAACTAAGGTTTCTGTCTAAATGCTGATAGCATCATATAACTCCAAAGGAGCACAACTCAAAAAGCCAAACTTTCTAGTCTATTAAAAAGGGTTCAATTTAGCTGACTTTTACACCAAAGTAGAGGAAAATATTGTGCTGTAAGAATAAGGAAAAAGAACATCTAGCCATTCATTTTATGGATTAGAATGCTGGTTTGCATGGTATAGAAATCTTTGCTCAAAACTTGAACTGAACTTGAACTGGTCCTCCCGGGAGATCTGAGAAGTTTGGTTAATATTTTTCAGCCTAGTAAATTTAAAATTTCACATGTCTCTGCACATTTTAAGCTGAGAATAGAAACAGGAAGTAGCAGGAATCCTTTGAGAGAGAATGTGCTCATAAAATTTTCAGCCTTATTTTGTAGACTTGCGATGTTTGATTGCTGTTTGGATTTCATTAAGTTTTAAGAAAATTTTGAATTTAAAAATGTGGTTGCAGACTGTATTTTCAAATGTCATATATAACATCTCCTTTGACCTCTTCTGTCATCCATATTCATTCTTTTTGCTTTTCTTTTTGAATACTTTACCTTTTAATTTCTTTTAACAAACTATATTGAACACCAAGGCTGTAAACCAGACTTATGGCCATTCATATTGCATTATCTGAGGCTCCCAAATGAATAGCCTGGCATTTTATGGGAAGATCATGTTTTATTCTATATGTAATTCCTAAAAGCTTTTCAAAAAACCATGAATAATTGACTGTGAGGGTCTCTGGATTTTCTCTGTATGAGGTGAGATCCATTTTCTGCTAAGCAAACACTACAATAAACCTAGGTTTAAGTTTACTTGTGTTAGGGTAGCTCTATAGGAACAGCATAAACATTTCTGTTTTGATGGTGTGATACTTTTCCAATACCATGGCTTCTTTTATATTATTTAATTAACTAAACCTAATAGAAGAGTGAACTAGTAGGTACACTGAAGAAGCAAACACCTCATTTCTGATGCTGTAACTCTAACATGAGATTGCATTTCACATAGATCTGATTTATTGTTAATAAGCATCTGCAATTTTTTGCTTTCAGTCTCCATTCCATTACATCAGATTCGAAACAGTGGAAGAACACTCACTTAATGGAGAGTCAACCCTCTAATCATTAGTATTCAAGATTCACTGCTGAGATTCACAATACAGACTATGTTTCAAGATTGTTTTTACTGTGATTCCTATTATCCATATTTTGCTCCTATCATTTCATTTCTTTGTCATCAAATTTTATGGAAGAAAAGGAAATAAGGAAAAGAATGGGGAAAAGAGAAACTGGATAAAGACACTCTGCAGCATTTGGTCTGCAATTTGTGATTATTGAAGCATGAAATAACACAACGTGATTTTTGTTCTGTGTCTTTAGATTGTTTGGCCTGTATCTCATTCCCGAAGGGATGAGTGCAAGTGGGCTGGAAAAGATATTCTGGTAAGTACAAATCTTTTTAGCATTTTTTTTCTTTTATAAAACATTGTAAATATTTTATTATGTCTTATTGTGTTAATTCTTAAAGTATTTTTCCTCCTCTGTAAGGTCACACATCTGATCATAACTTCAGTCTTGAGTTATCTCAGCCTTCTTATTCAAAATAATGAAATTTTGTTTTTATGACCAAGGGTTTAAATTTATAAATTTAAATCATGCAAATGAAATAGAGTTTATCTACCAAAAAAAAAAACCAAACCCCAAGAAAGAGAAGGGAGGAGAAACATCAGAATGAGAAATATTATCCCTTGTATACTTGTTTCCTGATCTCAGGGTACAGAATATTTTGACCTATTTTTGCCCTGTTCCAGGTCCCAGTCCTCCAGTGCTTTCTCTTTGTGGCATCTCACTGGAGTCAGTGGGTTTCCCTGAGCTCTTTCCTGCATGGAGTTCATAGCAAGATTGAGACCAAAGTGATTTTAACACTCTGCATCGGTTTTGGTGCCTCATGAAAGACACTGTTACACTAGGCATAATTTTCTGTACATTTTCCCTCATTCCTGTGTACATCTTATTGCCTGTATTTATGAGGTAGGAGAGACATAACTAGTAGCCTCCAAATAATAACCATTCCACACTGATAATAACTGTCTTCTTTATAAGAACAATATGGGAAATGGGAAGACAGGGCTGAAGAAGGGAAAAAAAGATAAAAAATACATGCATGCAATAAGCCAAACAAATACTTGCATAGTATAGCCAAATGGGAAATCATTCTGGTTGCCAAGGTATAACTGAGAGTGGAACTTGGCCCCGTGTGTATATGCTATTGGCCTGATTTTCAGAGATGATTCTGTAAAATATTCATAATGCCAACCATATGCCTCTAGAGAGCTCCATTTGAATAATTTCCTAGGTCATAATAAAAATAGTTTCATCAGTCTTTACCTAGGCCATAGAGGACAGTTGTCTTCATAAAAAGCTATTTGGGAACAGTAGAGGTGGATTAGGTAAAAACTAAGAAATATGGGTTAAGCTATATATGTGAAAGGATAGCTGAAGTGCCAGACACTTGGGCTATCTCATTACATAGAAAGAATAAATTTAAATTAATCCATCTTCATGTTCACAAATAATTTCCAGGAGTATATTTCAAGGTGAGGACTAGAATACCTAATATTCAAGGCTAAAAAAAATAAGGCTAGTGTTAAATGTCTGAGCAAATTAACTAACCTTACAGCTTGATCTTATACTAAGTATTACGATATTACATTAAGTAGATTTTTTAATAGCTGGGGTAGAAACCTAGAAAATTAATAAGAGATTCAGCACCTAGAATGAAAGTATACTCTTTTATTTTATAATAATTATTTTTAGAAATTTACAAAGGTAAGAAAGAGTATGTTTTATACATTGCACTAGGCTGATTCTAATCCATTCATTGTAAACAGACACACTATTATTGTGAAGTGAGCTGCGAAGTTCAGGTCCCTGTTCTCTGACTGCTGTAAGCTTGAGAGGTCTATTTGTTCTGTAACTATTTTATTCACCTTGATTCTTTTGCTTCCTATGATGTTAGGGCAGCTACACCTGCTGATCATGAGTAAAAAGTGAAGCCAATACCATACTCCAATGCTGTGTGTGACTCTGGCACATTAGCTGCCTGCTATGATCCTGTGCATTAGAAGCAGCACTCCCATGAGCTGGTGGAAGAGCATAAGGCAGAACAGGAGCACAGAATTCAGGACACAGTGCAGCCCAAACTGAGGATAACAGTAGTACAGCACACTGTTGCTAGAATCAGATAATTTGCTTTGAAAAATATTTTTCACATATAGGGATCGTTGGGGGTGGTTTTGCTTTCCTTTTTAATTTTAGATTTCTCTACAAGTGTAAGTGAGAAATAAAAAAACTGTATAGGTCATATTTAATGTGGGTCCATTTTTATCAGACAACTAGAAAGATGGGATATATATCTTGGTGTGTTCAGGTCATCATCTTTCAATATTTACAGCTGCCTGTTCTTGCCATAAAACAATGCGTTACAAATAAAGTATTTAATGTAACTGCTTTAACTGTAATTACAGATAAAGATTACAGATCATTTAAGAAACTTATTATTCCTCCCTCGTTTATTCCTTAAAGCCATTGTCAGTACCTTGGGAGTGTGAAATATAAAGGCCATAAAAATAACTCAACAGAGTCTCATTAGAGGGAACAAGAGAAATAGAGGACGAATAAAGTGACATACAAAACATACTTCATCTAATATTGCTTTCAGCATGTACCACCACTAAGATATTAGATACTCTTCACTTGTGATGGTTCAAAACTTTCTACATGACAGGCTATACTTCTACACTGAGGTCTTTTTTAAAAACTTTTTTTTAATTATTGACCTCCAGGGGAAGTCAATGCTGAAAATGCAAGTCCCTGCTAATAGGCCAGGTGCACTGCAGCAGCTGCAGTGCAAGTATAACCCCGGCTCTGCCCCACTGCTAACCTCAGCTATGACCTCTGAGATTTCCTCTCATAATTATAAGAGGTAATTTATTGCCGTTTTCACTCCTTCAGAGGGATTCCTTATACTGACGCTGTCAGTCATGCCAATCTAGGTAGAGCAGGTTTGTAGCTCAGGACAGTCCACACGGGATTTGAGGAGGGCGTCCGACTGTTCCCGCTCTCCTGATACCCCTTTGTTCCTTAAGCAGTCATTCTCATTTCTGTTTCTTAAAGGGCTTAGTATATGTTAATTAGTTAAGCTTTGCTCACTGGATAGATAGATAAACCTTTTAAAGTATGCTTCAGATCTAAACCTTTCAAAGTATGCTTCGGATCTTTTTTTATATGGTAAGCTGCGAAGAGAGGCTGAAAGACTCACCCCAGCTATGCAATACTTACTTACAACAGGACTTCACTGGTAGAACTGCTACACTTTCCCACAAAATAGAGATTTTTTTTCCAATAAAACTGTGATTACTGTCCCATGCAAGTACTTAGTATTACAATATATTTCCATTTCCTCAGTATAGAATATCACAAGCACCAAAGTAACATTGTTCATGAAAAATTAAAGACTATAAATAACAAATAAGATCTTTGCTTATGTAATTCAACTAAATGAGCAATTCTATGAGGATTTCTTGCTATTCTGGACTTCAGTCTCTCATTTGATCTATTCTGGTTGCTCTAAGTCCCGTGAATATTTCTCACGATTCCTGACCAGACCTTGGTAATGATCAAAGAAGACAAAGTCTCTACAGAATACTTCTCAGCTTCTATACTGAACTTACATTTCAGACATGCTGTTAGCCATATCCCTCAATAGTGAGCCTCAATATTTTGATTTTAAGATCTCACAGGCACCTGGGACCCAGCAGAAACACATGGCAACCTCTGCATTACATATGGGTTAAATAATAGGTAACTGCAAAAAAAAAATGTGGCTACAATTCCACTCTGACATTCCTGGGATGTCATAAACCAGCAAAGCAAAGCTTGGGTGATTTACAAAAATTACCAGAAACACTAGTTAGTTTTGCAGGTAGTGATAGGGTAGGGATAGCTTCTTGACTGGAAAGCTCATCTAGTCCTTAAACTATTAATTTGCTATTGTTTTAAAAGTTTGGGCTGCTGTTTAGTCGATACATCTCTGCACTAGATTTGGCTGAGGCACCATAGCAGTAATTCACAGGGTACACAGTTAATCAGAGAAATCCCTATTAAAAGTTATGATAGATTTCTACGACTTGAAAGCTTTAAAGATATGTTTCTGAAGGGCACCTTAAGATGTTATTTTCAAGTGTGATTTGACTATTTAATTTATTTAGCCACTTTTAAAGATCCCAGCTCAAATTAAATTGTTGAAATGGTCCCTTCTGGCCTTGACATGTATAAATCTTTAAAATTTCAATGGGTACTTTTACAAAGTCACATAGGACTTGCTACATGATGACAGATACCTATACACACTTTGCATGCTGTATGAAATTGGCTACTCCCTGGATGTTTCTGGTGAGAATTAAATGTTGATATACACAGATACAAAGAGTACCAAGTACTTTTACGTGGTACCAGCAAGGTTCTACATACGCTCCATCAGATGAACAAACAGGTCCATACAGAGAGTTACACTTTTGTGTCATTTCCCTTAATAGCTAAAGTGTATCAGCACAATTGTGTGTGTATTAGCACTGACTGTGTTATATTTGATAGGAGATAGACATCTACCTGGGCTCTTTAATTGCCATTAAATTTTACCTAGTTATGAACTCTTACCTGAATTCAACTGTGATTCACTTTTTTATACTTGATAGTTCTTTTTGTAATTTGGAATCACTGTAGCTCAGAAACCTATTCCCATTTAAGAAGTCAGACTCTTTACACTACACATGACATGGCTATATTCTGTGCATGCTTCTTTGCATTTAAGTGTGGCTGACACTTAATTCTTGAGCTTATGGTTCATGCAGGTAGAATCGTATGGCTGTAATTTAATTCACCATCTCATTTGTTATGATACTACTTAATTTAAGCCAAAATGTTCATACACCATCTGAGTTTATGCTTCCTTTAAAGTTTTCCATCCCCTTCCTAAATCATAGGAAGATTAGCAATTCCATAGGCTTACAGATCCATCAGTGTGCAATGATTCAATTTGGAAAGAAAGAAGAAAAAGAAAAAAAAAGAAAAAGTGGTGTGTAACTTAACAAGTGTCCCTCAGCAATATCTGGTGATACTTTCGAAAAACAAAGTTGGCAATAAATGAGCACTATTCCCTTTAACTCATTTTATTACTGTTGTTGCCTTAGGGAAAATAGAAGAACATGGAGGCAGAATGTAAAAGTAATCCTTTTCATCTGTTATTGTAAACAAAGATCTGAAGAGGGAACCTGAAAATTAAATATACAATGCTGGCTGGATCTAGAAAGCCTGCTTCTAAATTCATCTGACAGGCACAGTTTTTCCAGTCAAATTACCTCTGGCCCTTTGGGTGTGCCAAA